TATTACAAACCTGTTAGAAATAGCATGAGGCTTTCGGTGTCCTGTGGGGAATACAGCAAAAATGGTTCCACCCCACAGAGATCTTAACAATCTTCAGTTCATCTTTATCCCTCCAATAGGGCTGGAAATCACCATTGGCACTGCAAATCTGTTACCATCTCAATAGCAATGTACAACCTTATTCCCATTAATCTGTCTTCCATCCATTCACGCATCAAGTACAACCCTGCTTCATTTTACAGATTATATCCATGTTGCTCCAGACAAAGGTCACTTTATAGTTACAGTTCTTCAACTGAATAAAAGCTTTTGATGCAGTAAATCATTGTCTCTCACTGTTCAAACTCACACAATACAATACAAATAATGCTGCCCTTTCTTTCAGCATTCCCTTTCTACCTCACTACTCATTTCTTTACAAAATAAAATGAGGCACTTTTCACTTGCTTCAGCCATATAAATTAGTTATAGCACTTTGGAGACAGTTTGCTATGCTGCACTACAACCCAGACCCTATGCTATTTTGAGATCAAAATGAGCCTCTTTCACTACAATAGTATCAAATGAAACATAATGTACCAAGGTTTCCCTAGATTTGGCTGTTCCTAGATTTTTTTCCCCTCTTAGTACTGTGAAACTTAAAACCTAAGACACTCTCTTCCAAGTGCCATGTATCTTTCATCTTTACTTATCAGAGGTTACCTGCCTACTAAGACATAACAGGCAAGGTGGGAATGCTTGTGCACACACAGACACAAGTGCAGGGAAAAGGAGGGTGGGAGAAAGGGTGGATTAATCTACTAAATAATCATCCAGTCCTGCTGGCACAGGAATTAAACTCTTCCCTTTAGCAACACAAGGTATTTGTCCTTTCTTTTGGTAGTGAGGGGAGTCAGTCAGCATGAGACATGGAAGTTTTGAGGTTAAATTTGCAGATAGTTTCAACTTTCTTTCAAAAGAAGAATAAAACATAGCAGGATAAATCTTAATGTCAAGTACACTCATGCAAAACGGCAACCGCTTAACAGCAACAGTGCTTTATTTAGCACTGAAGGTCATAACAAGAACTGAGGCTGAAAGCTGAAGGCAGACAAATTCTAATCTGAAATACACAAGTATTTAGTAGCAAGGAAGCTAAAACTTGAAAACACTGTCAAGGCAAACCAGGAACTCACATTTCTTGATGTCTTCAAAAAAAAGTGAATGCCTTTCTAGAAGACATGATTCAGCATAACATAAGTTATCAGGTACCTAAAGGAAACACGTATGATGTATGAGAGGTCAATTTGGATAAACTGTTGATTCCACCCATCTTTAAACCTGAAACTGAAAATAAATCATTACTCAAGAGCAAGTCCTAGCTCACTAGTAGTATTTGCCTTACGTTTTTAGTGCTTCTGAGCTCTTTCAGTGAAGAGCAACATTAATCACGTGGTTAAAGCATTCAGTGAACTCTCCAGTTGGCAACCGGCCACCATGTTCCCTGTCTTCTTTTGCAGCACCATCCTCTTGGTAACAGAGGGCATTTACTTAGGTGAGATGGAATGAGACTTGCTTCCACAAACAGCTGAGCTATCAGTTGCTAATAGCTAGGCTCTGTTGCTAGCTTGTGTTTATGCCTCAGAATGCTGCTGCTTCTAAAGCTAGACTCAGACAATTGCCCACAGAATACCATGTAAAACTGACATCAGCTTAGTCAGCCTATCTTCATTTTGCATATGTGTGTGCATGGCTAAGCAGCATCTTCTAGTTCAGGTGACCTAACCCAGTACGTGCTACATTCAGCTTCAATGAAAGTACACCTAGACAAGAACATCCCAGAATCTGTTCTGACTGATACACCAGGAACAGAATTATTGGCTAACAATTTTCAATCCAAACCAGAAATTACATCACTGCCAGTGAGAAAAATAATCTTGTGACTTCCACCCTTAATCAAGTAGATTTGTAGCTTTATTACTGTTATTCTTCATCACTTTAACTAGTATATTGAATTAGGGAAGCAAGTCCTTAAGCAGCATCCACAAACAGACAATAAAACTCCCAATATTTTGCAGAGCTTAGATTGAGGCTTCTGCCTCTCTGCTTAAGATCTCTACAAAATAAAGATTTGTTGTTAGACTGGCCTTTGCACTCACAGTTCAGGTTCATCACAGAGTCACACTGTATACAGACAGCATGGCAGTATGTTACATGACATTGTATTGCAGTGTAAGGCAACTGAGGCTTTTTTGGGGTTTGCACTCCACCCCCTCCACAGCACAGAGCATACTGAAGCAATGAAAGGAGACTGACTCCCCATGCTAAATCTGACTGGCCAATCTTGCTCTCCCATCATCAAATTTAATTTCTCTAGGCTGCAAATGGAAATAAAAGAACGAGTGAATAAATGGATTCTTTTCATCCCTGAACACTTCAAGTTTATAAAAGCAAAGAAGTTTTCTCCGTGGCACCCATGGGCAGCCTGGAGCTCTCCTCTGACAATAAAAGAGAAGCAGTTCTGCCTTCACTAGGGTCTCCTCCGAACACTTCTGTGCTTGCACTGAGGCCATGAGATGCAAAGATACCAGGGAAACAGAGCAGCGATTTACATTGACAAAGAGGATTTTGATACACTCCTCCAAATGGGGCAGCATTACCATCTTAATAGCCTTTTGCTCTCAGCCCTCTTCCTGAGGACGCTGGAGATTTTTGCGAATGGAGAACAGTTCCGCTTCCCATTTTAACTGCAACAATAGCAGAAGGGCTCCTTAAACTGCATCAAATAGCAGCCTGTGAAATCCCTAACTAGCCGCACTGCCTCTCCTGCCGTTTTATTATCCTCCGGCCCACAGAACAAAAGGGGGGGAGCTCCTCCTCATTTTTAGCCTATTCCACAGATCCTAATCCCTCAGAGGTGGCAATGGAAATTGCTTGTGGAACTGTTAAACCACACTTTCACTTTGTCTTTCATTCCCCATTCACCCTCGCTAATCAAGGAGTTTCCAGCCACATTTTCCGATATCAATTTGTTTATGGCCTATTGGTTAATGGTCCCAGGATGGGACCCCCTGAGTAAAAAGAAAGAATCCCGGGCACTTCAGCCAGCTGCTGCTTCTCGCCAGTTCCCACACCCATCCACTTGTTCCCATCAGCCACCCTGAATGTGCTCACCTCCTGACACCAACTGAATTAAACAACAAAGCCTGAATGAGAAAGCTGCCTTTGCAATCAGGCTGCGGGACAGATTCCACTTGTTAGCGCTATACGATGTCCCTCAGGCAGCAACGCAAGGCCACTCCCTCACTGGCTGACCCATGGTCAGTTGCCTTACTGACATCTTATCTTGTGTCCAGCTTCCTTTTGGAAAGAAGCACCAGCTACTACTCTCATAAAAACTCTAGCCTCTCTTGCATGAGGCAGCCTGGTGCCACTTTCTGCATCCTACCTGAAACAGCCACTCCTGGGTGATTTGCTCACTTTCTCTTTCCATAGAAATAATGATCATTGAAATGTGGGATGAGAACACACAATATTTGCTTTGTACAACTCAGTCAGATGGCTTGCATGTAAATGCTTACAAGTCTATGTAACATAGTCTGGGGCACATCATCAGGGGAACCGTGCCCTTCCTTACTACCCATTTTGGAGAAAAATATCTAAAATGGAAACATAACAGTGTAGTCAGAAAGTAAGAAGAGGCTTACACAAAAAGAGATTCAAGCAGCCTTCCAAAATGTACAAAGAATGCCTGATATTGAGACAGCATTTACTTAGAGAAATCTAAACTGGTGTCTCAACTTCTGCAAGCCATCTAGTTTAAACTAATAAAAACTGTTTCTAGTTCCTGTAGTCTTTTTAAAATTAATGGTACCAAATAAAGCAGATCTTATTCCCAAAATGCCATCTAAGAATACACTGCGTATAGTATCCAAAGGCTTAGAAAACACCAGATGGACCCCCACATTATCATTATGTAGATGCATCAAATGGCAGCAAAAATGCACCATAAACCATTTTTGTTTCGTTTTCCTACATAATATATCATCAGAGATGTAAGCGTATTTAGTCATTAGTAACCATAAATATGTTGTTGGTCTGGTATAGCCTGTTTGAAGGTGAGAAATGGGCAATCAGAGGAAGAGAACTGTTCACATAGCTTAAAATGTTCATAGTGCTTTATGGGATCAGTGATTCTCAATCACTAGAACCTGAGAAACAGAAACACTCACCTTTCTTAATGCCATGGCTGCATATCAGAATGTAATAACTGAACAAAAAGTTTTATTTAGTCTGCTAAACTAACGCAGCAATCAGGAGCCAGGCTGCATATCAACAGACATCAACTCAACAAAATCGATCTATGAATGTCTGTAAAAAAGTAAAGACATTAAAGGAAGATTTATTGGGATAAACAGGGAAAAGAAGTGAAGAGCTGACCTCCCCTTTTTGCTGTGGTCTGAAAGTACATGATTTAGGACATAGCCACAAGGAACCCTAGTTCCCTGCCATGATGGTAGTAGTATCTAGCTTTTCAGTACACTACCTCATATTGTAGAGAATCTGAGGATTATTTAAGACTTTGGAGCATTAGCACAAAAATGATCACAAAAATGAAGAATAGGTATTAATTTCCTGTGTTTTTATTGATGTCAAACCATTTACTAAAGAAGAACCATTTATTAATGATAGATGGTTATGTTTCTTCTGGAGAAACCTATCCCATAGGAGCAACGTTGCCAGAACCATTCTACTTCACCTTGAAGGAAAACAGGGAGCCATGATTAATAATTTCAGGGCCCATTCTTCGATCCATGGCAATATGCAACAACTAATTTTGTATAATCCAAGACAAAACAGTGACCACAGTAAAAGGCTGCCCTTGTCAACCAGACTGTTTAAATGTGTGAGTTTTTAATTAGGTATAAACAGCACCATTTTCAACAATAGCTGTTGTTAGCTACATTTAGCCTGCTTAAATACTAATTGAAAAGGAAAGCCAAACAATACTCTGGTCTTACCTTGAAGAACCAAGCCTGATTTCTCAATGGTGTAGAAAAAAGAGGAGAATGGAGCAACAGGGGATTTAGCAACCAGGAGCTGCAAACCAAACAAGTAATACATAAGTGCACATCTTTATAACATACTGATCAGAGCTCAAATCTGTAGAATAATCTCACTGGATTTTACTGTCAGTAGAAAAGCATACTGCAGAAATAACAAGGTAGCTATTGATCCATCCCTGTCACTTCACTAGTTGAGGTCTTCTCACAAACATGTATAGATCACACTGCAATTTTAAAAGGATTCACAGGTCCTAAAAAACCACTGTCGTGAAAGCAGCAATTTTGCTTGTCTTACTGGCATCCTGTTAAACTTAATCATTCCTGCTGGTTCAGGCAGTTGCACTCAGATAAGTAATTTTGAGCAGAACTGCAACTGCCATTGTGTAACACAATTTTAATTGCCATCAGCCATTCCACAGATGTGCCCCCCTTGGCTTCTCCAAGAACTCCATCCGTTTTCTTCCTCTGGTCCCCGGAAGCAGCATGGTCCACCCATGGGACACCATGATCACCACTGCAAGTGTCTGGATGTCCTCTTTTGTAAAAGGGGTAATGACTGAGTCAAGCTTTAATTCAAGGATCTTGTCCTTGGAGTATCAAAATAGGAACAGGAATTCCCTCAGGGTCTTCTACACTGCAATTGAATTTAGCTCAGCATTCAGGTGTGCTGGCTCTCCATGGTCAGAGGTGAATCTCACTGGCTCTACTATGGAGGAACCATCATCTGTGGAAGATGAGCTGTGGCAGAGCTCTGGAGACAAAGAAATGGGCTTGTTGGCAGGGTAGGGGATGTGGGACCTGCAGTGGCAAACTCACACCAAAGTGCCAGGCTTTATTGCTTGGCTGTTTGATTTTTGCTCATTGCCGAGGACCGCTCCCTCACAGCTTGCCTCAAAATAACCCCTATTCTGTCACCTACATGAAGGTGACATTTTCATGATAAATTTAATAAGCTCTGCACAGACTGTAATCAGCACAAACGGTGATCTAATGGTCCCCATGTGGGCCCTGGAGAAGACACTGAAAGCAGTGGCTGAAGCAGAGACTGTGCTGCTGCTCTGCCTCCAGCACAGAGCTACTGAACAAAGCTGAAACCTCCGCTCACCTCTTCAACAGTCGGAAAAAGGCCGGGAACTGGAAACCAGCACTCGCAGCAGTGGTCACACACCCTGGATGAGCCTTCCCACCTTCCTGGCCCCTGAGGACAGGGTTTGGGCAGGAGGTTCCCCTCTGCCCATGCTGCTGCTCTGCAGGGACCTGCTCCAAGCAGAGCAGTATCGCAGAGCCTGAGTCACGGCTGCCCTGGACACAGAGCAGGCGCCCTGGCTTCCATTCCTTCAATGCACTGATTTCATCCACCCCATCCATGAGGCTATGGAACCATCATGCACCTCGTGCCTAAATTTCCAAAGCCCTGTCAGACGTTACACCCTCTCAGCCCAAGATAGGCAGCACTCCGTCAGATACAACCAAATACAGATTTCTTAGAACTTCAGACAGTAACAATCTTATTTTTAGAGGTGTGGGACATGACAGATCCTGCTGATTTCAGATGGAGTAAAAAAATCCCCATTATTTCCAAAGGTCATGCTCTAATTCTGCCAAACAAGCACTTGTAAGGGTCACTGCATATGAATTTCATTTGGTGGTGCCTAACGATCAGCAGGGAAACAGTGAGAAGGTTTTATAAAAGCCAAGAGAGACTACAGAAAAACAAGGAAGTTCACGCTCACCAAAACTGCTCACATTTCACTAAAAAGTCAGACAGCACTTCATAGACACACAGGACTGGGACATTTATTCCTAAGTGTAACAATATCAAGCACTAGAAGCTTGAGCTCTGCGGTGTCTTTATGCAACCAGAGGATTTGGCAGCAAATTCTGCTGCAGAATCAAGGTAATTTAAATGCTAAGAGTGTCTGTATAGTAGGTAGGTTTAATTTGTATTTGTATGTAGTCTGCAGACAGGACCATGCTTAGATGTCCTGCAACTCTTTCTCACCTGATTCTGATACAGGCTGAAGAAACAAAATCCTCATTATCTAGTTCTTCCAGACATAACCATTATTACCCACAGCTAGCTAACATCTTTATGGTTTTCAGATTTTAAACCAAACATAGTATCCCTTCTTCAGACAGTAAAAAATAAAGGCAGGCACATAAAGACCACAAATATAGCCAGAAAACATCAGACCAGTCCAAATGTGAGTGTTTTCCTTTCAGTCATATGAAGCTGGCAAAACCACCTCAGGATGCGATACAACCTTTGTGAACTACTCCGAGTAGGAAAACTGCTGTGGTAGCACTTTCCCCTCTTCCATGTTAATTACCCTTCTGTCTGGAGCGAACTTCTGGAGAAAGGAGGGGCACGTCACATCCCACATCCATGACGCACCTTGACAAAACCCAAATTCCCTTGCTCGTCATCATCCCCAGAGCCAGCACTTCCCACTGACACGGCAGGAGGGGGACTCTGCCAGGAGGAAAGCAGTGTCTCCTGGTGCTTCCCACACCCCCTCAGCTCTGAGAAAATGAGGGAGAGGATGGGGTGGAAAAACTGTGCAAACGTTCAGCTACAGTCTCCCACAACAGCTGGATGTTTAATCAGAAAGGCCTGAAACGAAACAGTTACAAATCTGATGTCTAAGGTCAAATTTTTGGCATTCTGTGCAGTACTATGCACATAAATACTAACCTATATATGCATGTGCACTAGGCACAGTTGTACGTGTAAATGGATAGACATTCAAATAACCCTACGTACATTCTGTTACTGCATTTTTATGCAGTTACAATATGTGTATAAGTATAGCCATGAAAAAATATAATAAATCACATCCTTTCAGCAGCACATCACAGGGCCCCTCTGAAAGGCTGCTGCTGCACAGTTACATATGAGGCTCAAAATTAGCTTCCTTTTTAATGAAAAAGGAACAGCTCAGAATATTCAAAGGTATTGCTTTATTTTGTATGTTTGCTTACTGAGAAAAATAACCTTTAAAGTATGACTGTGTGTTTCACTACCAGATAGAGTACACAGAATTCTTTTTTATAACACCAAACTTTATATTAACATCACTTTTAAAAAAAAGTAACTATGTATTTAGATTTGTGTTTCAACTAAAGAGAAAAAACTCTAAAAGGTCATTGCAAACCATCCTCTGGTTGGAATAGCGAACACAGAGTACGTTCTTATGTATACACAAGGAACTTAGAAAACATAGAAGGAAATACATATCAAAAAAAGAAAATTATGTTTTGGAGGCCAAGAAGTGGAAGTGTTAATCAAGGATTACCAAAAATCAAGGTAATGTTGATCCTGGAGAGATTATTAACAATATGAAAAAGGAAATAAAAATTGAGAGTTATAATGAAATGACATTGGGATATATTCTAGATATGAGTGAAGAAATAATCAGTTTTCAACAAGCCGGACCACGCTGAAAAAGACAAAAAGGCAAGATAATGGGAATTATCTATATCATATAGATATAGAAATAACAACTGAGTGGCAATAAAACTTCAGGATCTTAGTGCATTCAGTAGAAAACACATAATTTCTATCAAAAAACCACTGTAAGAATCAGCATGTGAATTTAGGTCTGATAGCTAGTATTTGTCATACATCTATGAAATTTAAGTGAGAAGCAGCAGACATAGTCCTCAAGGAGAAGAGAAAAAAAAAGTAAATTGGTGAGTTGAGACCTGTAATCTCATTTCAGTATTATCCAGATCTTTAGAAGAAATTTTGAAGGGAAGAATATATAAAGACTTGGAAAATGGGATAAAATGAAACATGGATGTCATGCCAGACACACCTGACATCCTCGTTTGAATTTTTTAGACATCCAAAATAAATCTGACCTCATCTCTTTGGATCTCTTTAAAGCTTTTAACACTGCTAAATGGGAAACAATAATGAAGAAAAGAAGGATAAGCACAGAAGCTGTAAGACAGAAGGAGAAACAGTCAGTTATTGAAAGAAAACACTTCCCAGATATACTAGTACCTCACAAGATTACTGATCCACAAGGTGATGTAGCCAGGACAATGACAGATCCAACTGTACAGTGCACCACCACAAACAACTGGCAAAACCAGGGATATGATGTTTCTGCGCAAGCCCCTAGCAAGCTTTAGTCTGGAATACCATGTATAGGTCACTCATGAAGTCAAACTGCAAGAGCCGGGCTATATGCTGGTGAGGAGAATGGAGTGCTCATCTTAGAGGCCACTAGAAAAATGTAGCTCAATGAATCTAGCACAAAATGAAGGTTGACTGTTGCCTATGTGTGTAAGTGAATGAAACGAGAGAATGGAGCAGGAGGAAGGAGAACTACTTCTCAAACTGACAGCACTGGCACAATAACAAACGTGCAGCCATGAAGACAATTTTGGCTGGAAATGTTGAAGTTTGTAACGATCAGTAAAGGGAGATTCTGGAAGCGCCTTCAACTCAAAGAGGCAATGCTTAATTTTTATTTTTTTTTTTTTTTTAAAGATTCAGCTTAAAATATTTATGAAAGGGCTATAAAGCAGTGCCTGGGATGCACTCCATGACCTATGAAGTCGCTTCAAGTCCTGTGGGCATCCTGAGAAGAAATGAAGCCCTGCCAACCCATCTTTTATGCAGATAGAACTGACAGAGTTGGAACAATACATTCTAACAATGTCCCTTGATTATATGCAACGAAGGATCTTTGTGGTCAATAAACCAAGAAAAAGTTTCTCGTTTTCAAATACAGTATGTATAATTTAAAATCTTCTCATCTCTATCTCCTGGTGAGCATATGCTTTTCTCCCTAAGATTCCAAGCAGCCACCTGAGGATGTGGAGAACACAAGGGGCCTTCCAGGATAACTCAGAAGCAGATAGCTCAGGCAGAACAGGCATTTCTAAGATTAACTTATATTTAACTATATGTCTTGTTCCAATTCTGAACCAGTCCTGGACAAAAACTGGAGAGAGTACAAGAAGGTTTATTATCTGCACCTGGATCTGAATCAGAATTCTTTATTCAGGCTGAAACATAAA